TTATTTTCATTCATATCAATTACATTCTCCTTACTTCTATTTGTAGCAATCTAATATTCTAAAAAAGAGAAATAAGGAAACAATATACTGAAAAAATAATCTAGAAGATTCAACAAATATTTTCTCTAATTAAGAAGATTCTATAGATATTTTCTTTAATTAAGAAGATTCTATAGATATTTCCTCTAATTACAACATTTTCCTATCTGAAGGAATCTGGAAAACAACAAACTACAAGGTCCTCTGCCACAGTCTTTGAACAAAGAAACATTGGAGATCAGGTATACAATAAATATTCTTGTCTCAAGAAACAGCATTTATGTTAATTCCTTGATCATTTGCAGGACATCTGGTAATTTGTGTCTTACCTTTTCCACAACATCATGTGATGATGATGCATCATCATCCAATCCTCCAATTGAAGCACCACAAGTTACTGTAGTTCCTCAGAAGAAGCACAATGTACATAACAATCTAGCAATCATACTAGCCACGGTTGGAGGAGCCATAATAGCCTTTCTCTTAATGTGTATTTCAGTATTGATATACAAGACCAAACAACACTATGAAGCCTCCCACACATCAAGTGTGTATATTCTCTTACATCATGCGCTATTATCTTAAACATTTTGTTTCATCTGTGTTAGATTGAAATCCTTGTGTCTTTTAGGAGGAGAAATGGATACGAGGAACTGGGGTGCTGCAAAAGTATTTTCCTACAAAGAAATCAAAGTAGCTACAAGAAACTTCAAGGAAATCATTGGAAAGGGTAGTTTTGGATCTGTTTATCTTGGTAAACTTCCAGAAGGAAAATCTGTAGCTGTCAAAGTTCGTTTTGACAGATCTCAACTGGGTGCTGATTCATTCATCAATGAGGTTCACTAACTGAATTTCTCTTACAAACAGCATTGAATGCTTCATTGTATTTGTGCATGGTGAAATTGTGACAAAGGGTCAGCTACTAGCCACCTAGGAAATAAGTTCTATCTCTTTGGACCAAAACAGAGTGTTTTCTGTATGGACTAAAATGAAAAACTGTGTATACTATAGGGATAAATTTTTTAATTTAACCATATTTAAATGAATAATTTAATCATTCTCTTGGTATATATCTCATACTTAACCACAAAACATGTAGTTTTTTATACAGTAGAGATTATTGTTTTGTTTCAGACATTAGAAGAGAGAGTGAGAAAGGTTGTGGATTCAACTCTCCCACTAACAACTAACACTACTGATAAAAGAAAAAAATTCTACATTAAAATGCCTTGTGTAATTTTTTTTTTCTCAAACCTAATTCTTTTTCCAACATCTACTTTGTGCTTAGGTTAATCTTTTATCAAAAATCCGGCATCAAAATCTTGTGTCTTTGGAAGGATTTTGTCATGAAAGAAAGCATCAGATATTGGTTTATGAGTACTTGCCTGGGGGATCCCTGGCTGATCATCTCTATGGTACTAAAGACTTGAACACAAGTTTGTTTCTCTCTATTACGTATACATATTTGTATATGATTACGTTTCTTTGGAGAAACTCCTATGAACACTAAATGCATATGTTTATTCTTTTTCTTCCTCTAGGTTGTCAAAAAATTTCCTTAAGCTGGGTGAGAAGGCTGAAAATTGCTGTTGATGCAGCAAAAGGTACAACAATGAGTTCCTAAACAATAATAGTGTGACTATATCATATTAGAAACACAATTTTGACCCTATCTTTTCTAATATGTATTCTTATTGCTCTATGATACAATACGCATAGCTCATTTTAATTCCGGACCTCATGAAAACACCATTCTAGTAGTACTTCATTTTCAAAAATGTCACTGATGTTGATTTTTGTTTGACTAAATCAAGGACTAAAGTGAAAAACATCTTCATAAGTCAAGAACTAAAGTGAAATTTAACTAAATGAAAGATTAAACTTATCAATGAGATGGGTCTTTTGAGGGGGATTCACTTGTGAGATTTAACATCAATGAAACTTAAGTCCAACTCCTACAAAGGGATTGACATTAGTTTCAACCCAAAACCTTAAGACAATATTTCTTATAATATGCTTAACTTTATCATTTTTATCTAATTAGGACTTAAACTCATACTTGATTTCTTAATAATCATTATCTCATAAGCGAGTCTCTTTCATATTGATACATCCCCTCAAGCGTACCCCTTAGTATAATTTTCACTTTTTCTATCTAAGAAGCCTTGTAATCACTCAATAAAGAATAAACCTAATAAAAATATGTTGTTCAGTTTGGTAAACATGACAATATAGGCTTTTCAAACTTTATAAGAACAAGACAAAAAAATTACAGTAATTAATATAATCAGCATGTTTATAGATACTAACAATCATTATGCAGTAGTGTTATTACAATTAATTTAATACATGGTGTAAATTATGTTTATTTATTGAAAAGGTTTGGACTATTTGCACAATGGAAGTGAACCAAGAATCATACATCGTGATGTGAAGTGCAGTAACATCCTCTTGGACATGGAAATGAATGGCAAGGTCTGTGACTTAGGTCTCTCTAAGCAAGTAACTCAAGCAGATGCAACTCATGTCACCACTGTTGTTAAGGGCACTGCTGGTTACCTTGATCCAGAGTATGTCTTGTAAATTATGATAAAGTTTTTAACATTTTTAATATACTAAAATATCAATTTTTCAAAATTATTTTTATTTATATTTTGCATTCATATTGAGGTATAACATAAGAAAGCATCATTATTAAATTTCAACTAGGTTGACACTTTATATTTCAATAATCACCTCCTCTTGCAAAAATATGTATATCAAAGAGAAAAAGAACCAACAATACAAAATAAAATATGGAGAACCGAATCAAAACCTGTAATCAAGAAAAAAACCTATGTAATTTTTTTTATTTTAGTTCTTTAGGTTTTAGATAATGTACAATTTTAGTATGCTCCTCAACGTTATACAAGTTTTTTTTTTCTTATTTTATTTCATCTAGTTGATCTCTAGACCATACATTCATTTAAGATGAAAATGATAAGTAATTAATTAAAATGTAAAGTCATATTTTAGAGAAAAAGAAATAAGAAGGCCATTGATAAATTTGTTTTTTTTTTATTTGGGAATAAATTATATATGCAAGTTAATTTCCTTGTACAGGTATTATTCCACTCAACAGTTGACAGAGAAAAGTGATGTATATAGCTTTGGAGTTGTTCTTTTGGAACTCATTTGTGGGAGAGAGCCATTGACTCACTCTGGAAACCCTGATTCATTCAACTTGGTGTTATGGGTAAACAACATATCATTCTTTTTTATTGTTTGTACAAACTGGTAAAAGCAATGGTTATTGTTAAAATGCTAAAATCAATTCATAAAGTGGTCTAGGTTGGAAAGATGATTAGAAAATTATAACTCTTCGATGAAGAATGTGGGAACATAATAACAGAGTAATGATTTCATGTAACAAAAGTTCACTTCACATAACAAATTATTTTATTACATGTTAGGTAGACAAAGTTAAACATAAGAGAAAGACCTATAAACTCATTGCTTTAGGTGGATCAACGTTATTTTAAGCCTATAACAAAATTGCATACCAAACACTTTTTCACATCAATGTGTGGTTTACATTTTTTGTTTATAACTACCAATTGCAGGCCAAACCATACTTGCAGGCTGGTGCATATGAGATAGTGGATGAAGACATAAGAGGAAGTTTTGATCCCTTGAGTATGAAGAAAGCAGCTTTCATTGCTATAGAGTCAGTGCACAGGGATGCATCACAGAGGCCATCTATTGCAGAGGTATTGACAGAGCTAAAGGAAGCCTACGATATTCAGCTCAGATTCCTTGAATCATGTGAA